GTGTATATATATATATATATATATATATATATATATATATAATATTTTAAAGCAATTTTTGATATATTTTGTTTAGTTTGAACTCTTATATCCTTCTCGTCATTCATCTGCCATTAATAAAACTCATCTGCCATTAATAAAACTTTCAAACGACAAACTCTTGTTTAATTTGTAACATCTTCAGCGGTAAACTTTTTAATTAAGGCTTTACATATAATTTTTACTTTCTTGGGGAGTAATATTTTTGATTGATTACTCACTTTCACATGAGTGGATGCGTTGTTTGAAGGATCAAGTCATTAATGTGTTTAACCCATGATTAATTAATTAAATTTCGTTGAAGACGAGCTTAAATATCAATTTTGAAGGTTTTTTGGAGACGAATTTGAACTCAATCTCAAAATGGTGTTTTGTATTATTTGTGTATTTAATCCTTCTATATCCGAGCATGTATCTCCTGTATATATCAATGAAAATCTGTGTGTATTATTATACACTAAGAAACTTGATATATATAAGTGATACTATATGTTTTTGGAGTGACATTTTCCAACTCGTCCAGGTATTTCCAATTATACCCATTAATAATAGAAAAAATTATCTTTAGATAAAAAAAAAAGATTTTGGGTAAAAGATGTGCCGATTTTACGATAAATTTAACTTTTAGCGGCAGGAAAAACATATATTTACAAAGAATACTAAAATCTTTATCAGCATTAGTTAATTCTCAAGATCCAACGTCTCTATAGGCTTTAAGAACATTCCAAAAATTGTTAATTAAGTAATAAAAATATGCTCTCTCTAACAACTTAAGCTTTTAGATGAAATGATGACACACTTTACCAAGTGCTAAGTTTCTCTAAAAATACATATTTAGTGACCGACAAATGACAATTAAACTATTAATGATCTTTATGGTGTAGTACAAAAAATGATACCTCTGGCTATTGAGACCTTGAAACTTTTATGGGTAGATATTTGGTATTTTTCATTGGAAGATATAGCTGGTAGGTACTGTCAAATTTATTGGGCTTCAGCGTTGAGTTATAAAGATTAATCTTTAGCTAATTAATCAATAGATGTTATCATATTTTATCATATAAGTTGTGAGTGATCAAGGAAAAGGCCACAGAATTAGGGACCTGCACTGTTTATTAGCCCAAACATTTAGACTAAAATCTTTCGAACAATTTGAAATACGTTTCTTTGATCTAGTTTGATCTTATAAAGATTTAGATATACCTTTAAGTCCAAATGGATCCAGAGTCCAGATTATGAGGTTCCTTAAAAGCCTAAAACATAATCCCAATCATATTTAGCTTTATTATAGTATGTTTATTATTTACGTCCGATTTCATTAATACTACTGAAAAATATACAAGTATTCCTAGACTATGACAGAAATGCGCCTCAATTGCTTGCAGTCTTCAGTGTGCCACGTAAGACAAAAGGTGTACAAAATTACAAAAAAAAAGTTCGAAGGGTAATAGGACCTTAGTTGAGTTAAGATATGTCTCTGAGATTTCGGTCATAGTCTAAGGGAGTGAGTACTTGTGCATTTTTCCTTAATACTACTCCTAATTAGCTTAATTAGAAGCTATTGATCCTCTTACAACTTCATATAGAAATCATTAAGTCAAATAAGTATGCTAGTTTGATAAATGTGCACTGCTCCTATGCCTACTTTTAAGTAGTAATAAATATTCAGTGCCATGCCATCATGCTCCAAATAATGTTTTATTAGTACTATTCATATCAAAGTATATGTCCCCTGTATTAAAGCTGCAGAGAACATAAAGAAACAATAGGGCTTTGAACCACAAAATGAGTGGGAGGCATGGTGTACTTACAGACATGATTTGAAGTAATATATAGTTCAATCTATAGTATCATGTAAGTTATCATAAAACCTTGATTCTAGTTAAATTAAGTAACTTAATTGAGTTTTTACACTGTCAGTACATAGAACTTAAACTCTACGGGAGGAAATATTACAAAAAGAGAACCTAACAAAGAAAAGGTACTCATTAGAACAGAATATTTATTGCCAATATTTGTCATGATGGCTTTCTATTCTTCTCTTTTGAAACTTTGGTAATGCAACTTCTATCTGTAGTTTAAGCCCTTTATACTAACCTTTTTCTTTGTTATGCTCATGTCTCTCTGCAGCTTCTACATTTATATAATATACAGGCTTCTGAGTTAGAACTAGCTAGTGCCTTCTTCATGCTTTATATATATCATCCACTAAGATCACTCTTCTCCATTTACTTTGGGAATGGATAATGTAAAATAAATCAATAATATTGTTCCCATACATGTCCTGTCAAAGACAGGGCACTATCATATTAGATAAATATATTAAGAAACTACATTTTGTTAGTCTACAATTTAAGTCACACCAACTCATGTTAATTACTAGTGCATTTAAACATGTTATACCATATATACTCCCTATAGTAATTTATGCGATAGACACAATGTTTATGCAACGTGTGTTCTAAAACTAATCTTAACAGATATGAAATCTCACTAAAGATAAAATCAGAAGTTTTAGTTATCATTTTTACTAGATAACCTATTAATTCTTGAGTTGATAACTTAAAAGATCGCTCAACTATGTGAAAGTCATTAAACTTCATTTTATATAAAAAAAAAATTGCTCAACTGAAAAACTTTGTGCTGATAACTTAAACTCGTAAAGAATATTATTATATATCACGTATGTAAAGAAGTTGAGAGTAAAACTCACAATGTAGCAGAGAAGAGAAGGATCCTCCTAGGATCAATGGTCCAATTAGTTGATCGTCGGTAACTGAATCTCCTGCCACCTATTTGACTTTCGGTGGCGGTGGCGCTGCCATGGCCGGCCACTATAGTGATCTGATGATTATGGGTTTGTGGGGTATGTTGATCACTACTAGTAGTCAATGCCATGGCCTTTTCTGGCGTGCTACCTCCTCCTAGCAATGAACTTGCTGCATTTTTAATTCCATTTTTAAAAATAAAGAATTAGAATATACTATATGCCATAAGTATATGTTGGCTTAAATGGTTCTTTATTAGTCAACAATTTTGATACATGTGCAAACCCACCCTTTTTTTTATTTAAAAAAAAAACAAAAAGCAATGAATGCAAACAAAAAGGAATGACACTTTGCATCTTTATGTTATTAATCATATATCTACAAGATTAACAAAAGCTCTAACCTAAATTTTTTCAAAAGAAATGTTGACATCATAGTCTTCAAGCTTGGACCATATGAACTTTAATTGGACCCGTTGCATTATGCAATAAATTATTAATAATGAGATTAGTCGCACTTGCTGCTTCTGACTTGAACTCTACGTGTTATTCATTTCAAATTCACAGATTTCAAATCTTAAATTTGTAGTTATACATTTACACCCTAAAAAAAAAGATGAAAATGAAGGCTCTGGAAATTTATATATTGATTAAGTTAGCGTTTGGTCATAAATTTTCAAACAATTCTTGGCAAATATTATTTGAGTGAAAATTTGGGTGAAATTTCACCATGTGTTTGGCCATGGGATAGGAAATATATTTCACCTTTTTGGAAAAATATGACTTATACCAACAAGTTTTAAAAACTATCAAAATTAACTATAAATTTGCATTACAAGTCAATTGAATGTTCGTTACAACAATAACAAATAATATCCATGACTCTAGAACAATGTGGTAATTTAAAGTAAGTGCAACAAATATCATTCCATAAATTGTGAAGTAGACAAAACACGTGATTTGGGATATTTGTCAAATAATGGCAAATTATATGGTCAAAAATTATTTACTAAATTTTTTTTAAATATTATTTAAAAAATCTATGACCAAATGGGCCCTAAGAACTAATGCGTATTAGCACATCTTTAACTATATAATTAAAAAAAAATAGGAATAGAATGATTTGTCTCATTAAGTAGTTGTTTGAAGAAAGTCTGTACTATCTTGTAATACTGCCATACGAAAAGACAAAAAACAGAGCGGAGTTCCCCACATGGATCTTCTGTGTGAGTGAGAATCTCTTGTTGTTTGGTACTATGTGTTATAGCTACTATGTGGCACATGTTTAGCCATGATTGTAGCTTAACTATATCATAGAAGTTTGAAACAGAAAAAATTAACATGGTATAAAACGATCAAAAACTTGTACAAGGAGCAATAAATGTAGAGAAAAATCTGATTCCTTTTAATATGCAAGTGTTGTAATTTTGAGAAATATCACAGGGGTCATATTATATTAGTCTTTTTCTTTCACTTTTTGGCTATTAGCTTAGTAAAAGAACAGAAACGCAGGTAGACAAATACAAATTTAATGATTTGTTTTTGTTTCCAATTTTTTTTTAAAAATATATATATTATATTAAATGGAGCAATAAAAAAGGAGAAAAAGAAAAGTATTACCTCTAGGGGAATTTGCCGTGTCTTTCTCAGTGACAGCATTTGAATTTGTTTTCTTCTCGCCGCTTCGAAATGATCCTTTTCTTGAAAGGTTCCTCTGTAACTTTGGAAAAATTAAATTCATATCAGAAAAACAAAATAAATAGCAATATTTTAAATTAAGGTCCATCTTTTTATAAAAATTAAATTAAATATATCAGTAGTTGTTTAAGTCTTAGTCCTAGTAAACAAAAATTGACCAATAATGAGTTATTTTCTCATCACTTTAACAAAGGGGTTTAGAATAGGGATAAACTTGAATCAAGAACTTGTCAGGATTATGAACAAAAACTCAGAGACCAAAAAATGAAAAATAGAAACATACAGTAATTCTTGAATTGGCATTTATGTCTTTCTCTATGATATGAGAAAATCGTTCCATGTCCACAACAAAGCTATCTGATTTTGTGCTTGTGTACTGCAATCCATTCATATGATCAGAAATACAAATTTCCTCAACACCCTTTTCTTCAAATTCTCCTAATAGTCTCTGTTTCTCAAAACCCATATTCTCCTGCAAATTTAATTTAATTAACAAAACATCAGAAAATACTGTAGTCTTTTTTGCTGAGAATTCTTTGAAGAACAAGAATTCAATAGAACAGTATTCAGAGAGAGAAAAAAGACTCACCATTTTAGGATAATTGAGAATTATTGAAGAAGCTGCTAATTAAGAAATCAAAGTTTGTTACCTGAGACAACAAAAACAAACAGAGAAGAGGTCTCGATTAAAAAGTCAAAACTTTTTTTCTTCGTATACGAATAAACAACTCTATATATAGGTGAGAAATAGCAGTAAATTAATTTGAAAGACTCCTTTTTTTTAGTTTTCTTCAACTGTTACTGATATTATCGGTTACGAAATAACTAGCTTACCAACTACAATAAGGAAAAAACACCCCTTCTTTTTCTCTTCTTGTTGAACTGCTAATTCCTTTAGAGCTCCCGAGTTATAACACATATTTATAAATATGAGGAATATTTATTTTTTTGGAAAGTTTTTGTTTTTTTGTTACAAAGAATGATGTGTAAAATTGAATTGATTTGCTAGGTATATTTGAGGGGTTTTCGGGGAAGTTAGATCATGTGTTGTGTGGGTAGAAAGAGACTTATTTTTTTAATTTTATTTTTAAAAAGTTGTTTAGATGTCTGTATTAATTGAATTGAGTTGTTAATTAATCAAAGAGATGACCCATCTTTGTTAGCGTCAATTAGTAATTATTTTTTTTGTTTAAAAAAGAATTGGTGTTATTTTTTTAATTTGTTTAAAGAAAAATAATTTTTTTATAATAATTTTCATTTTTCATATTTAAGGTCACAAGATTAAAGAATAATTTCATACATTTAATATTACTTTAATTTAGAATCATATAATTAAAAATCATTTTTTATTTCTTAAATTTTATATCAAAAATAAATTAAATTATTATTGGTGAAAGGAAGGAAATAGTATTATTTTTTTGGCTAAGAATTGTTTTAGGGATGGGTCCATTAGGTTGGGTGTAGAATAAGCAACTGCGCCCCTTTTGTTTTATTTAATCAGCTTTAATCATTTATATTTTGAACTCGTTTCAATTAGTTTAGATTTATAATGGCAAGGTGTATTGAAAAATTATTTTTTTTTAAAGTTTCTGATGAATTTTAAGCATCACACTGACAAACAAAGATTATGGTTTAAGTGTTTATTTTCTTCATTTTGCTTTGATCTTAACTTTTGCCTACAAAATAGATGAGGCTTTTTATTGCGTGTGGTACAAATTTTGTTAAACCAAATAAGTCCACTTTAGCTGATCAGAGACGAAACTCAAGTGGAATATTTGGATACAAGATGAGGGAAAATACTGAAACTGTAATCTATCGTGCTCTCTCTCTCTCACACACACATTAATTAGTATTTACTTCTTTTTTTCTGTCAAAGGTAAATTCCCAAATCCATTCATTTCATAGAATGACTTTGAATAGTTTTATTTCCGTTAATTATCATTTGTTTGCACTTAACGAGGATTTGAATCTTAATTAATTAAATTCGCTTATTTAGTGTGTTTATTTTTTAGGATTGAATTTTAATTATCCAGATTCAATTCATTAAATTTGTTTGTTTTATTTTTATTTACAAGTCTCTAAATAGGTCTGAATACATCTGAATGAATCAGATCTGTAACACAGACTTAAAAATAAGACTTTTATTTTAGTTCAACTACATCATAACAACTCATAATTTTTTTTCTTATTTAGTTAATGTTAATTACATGCTTATCTTTTTAATTTCTTTTGTTCTTATTAACTTAATATACATCTTTTACTATTATCAATTAATCAATCTATTTGAATTGATAAGCACTTCATGATATAATATTTAGCATGATTTCAGAAAATAAGAAACTATTAATGATTTGATCGATAACAATAACAAATGTCCATTATAAAATATAATGTTTTCATAAACATTATATTACTATTCTATATAAACTATTTTACATTATATTAGATTCTCAAAGTTTTTGAGTGCAAAGAATAGTCATATTAATGATGTAACTTAATGTTAAATTTTTAATAGATAAATCATATTACCTTTTTACGATAAAAAGGTGCAAAATATTATTTTGTTTAAAAAAATTATTTTGACTAAAATGAGGTTTTTATAATATTTTATTGATTTAGCGTTTAATTTCATATGTATATTGAAAACAAATAATTGAAAACAAACAATCCCAATAATCTAGTATTCAAATTCTGAGGCATCTTATTCAGATTTTTATTTTTTTAATGCATATCTTAATATTCAGATGTGTATTCAGATTCAAACGTCTAATCTTAATGGAAATAAATGAAACCTTAAATTGAAAGATTTTGTGGTGGGGCCTGCGGATGGGGTGTAGAAACAAAAGGACCGTAAATTACCCATTCTATCTCGATTTGTTTATCGTATATTTTTGATTTAATTTTTATTTTTATATGTCATTTTTAATTAAAAAAATATATTTTTCATTTATTATATCTTCAATTTATTAATATTTACTTTGCGTTTTTAAAAAAGACGTAGTGAGCCAATATATTTCGAAAATCTGTCGATTAATAGATATAGTTGTAAAGAACGGATACGGAGACAATTAGGCAAAAAATGAGTAAATGGAGTGCATACTCAGCTATTGCCTTTGACCATTTTTGGCAACTCCACTGGACCATCTTTTTCCCCTATTATTACTATACTATTTAGCATGCCTATAGGAGAGCACTCAACAGTCGACTTTTGACATTATTTTACATTATTCATTTTTATATTTAAATGATACGCACATGTTGTTGTACTCATTTCTTTCATTTTCAAACCCTCAAAAGAGCAAAATATAATGCTTTCTTTTAGTATTTGTCTTCAAGAATAGTTTCAATTTTTGTTGTTTACCAAATCACCATTTGAGAGGGGACGTTTTGCTTTTCAAAAATCAATGAGTATTATCAATCTGATTAAATTTAATCCAAAAGCCAAAGTCATTAACTTTCAACATATACGTTTTGATGTCCAAATTAATTTCGATACCTTTGTCAAGTGCTACATGGCATAGAACTAGTACGCTAAGCCGCCTAAATTAGTGTTTGGTCATATATACTAATTAATCTTACTATAAAGCTGATCTAATCAATATTTTAATTGAATTTAGCTACTACAAACATTTATTACTGTAAAGCTGATCTATAGTATAATAAATTGTTACCATGCACGCTGATTATATTATTACAACTTCTCCATCTCCTTATTCTCCACCAAGTGAACTTCAATGATAATTTCTTAATGTAAAGCTGATCTATTGTCAAAAAAAACAAAAGTGTAGTCAATTGGATTCTAAAAGTTGTTAAGTATATAAATTGCTTATCAAGATCTGATTCCAAGAAATTGATCAATTGTTTATATGTCACCTAGTTAGTAGTACTAAAATGAAAATACAGTATCAAAGTAAATATCCTAATAAAATCTGGTTCTTCATTGATTACATGTTTGAATCAATGAATAGCTCAAAAATTAACTAGGAAATAGATATGGGTTAGAAATGAGGGTGGTCCTCACCCATTCTATTACGTGATTCTTTTCTTGATCCTTTTTTATAAACAAAAACATAGAGACAACAAATTATGAAATTGTGGTCAATCTTGTAATAATTTAGTTTTCATAATTTCAACTATTTATTCACAATCTAACCCACTACTGCCTAATGTTTGGCTTTTTCTGGGTCTGAATCCCAGTATATCGGTAATTTTATCCTTGAATTTATTCTATTTCATATTCATTGATCCGTGGAAGAGACCAATGAGATATTACTGCATTGAGTAAGCTCCTCTATAGTCCCTTTCTTTGTAAAAATAGAATTCCAACTATCACACCCTAGTTATGCTTACGGTTTTGACACTACCCAATGTGTAGCTTAGACGCTGTATTTTTGTTAAAAATTATTTGATCCATATAAATAATTTATCCAATATCTAATAAGTAAACTTTATAGAATCTGAAATTTATGAACTCAATAGTAGTTCCTTTTTTGCGTACAAAACGTGACACGTGTCTAGGTTGGAAATCAATAAAATCAAAGGCAAAAACAATATACTTATAAATATAAGGTTCATTAGGGGTTTCCGTTCATTAGTATTATTTTAAATGATAATCATCAGCTAATCAATAAGGAATGAAGTCTGGCAAAGCTCACAATAAATTAAGCTACGAAAAAAAATACAAGAATATATAAAATATATTCATCTATAATTTTAAATGATAAAGTGAAGAAAAAAAGAAATGAAAGGTTTAGTTGTTGACAAGGAAGAAACCAAAAAATAGCCACTAAAGCGCGGCGCATGCTATGGGTAGTTCAATGAATGCAATTTGAACTTTTTCATGTAATAAAGAAAGGCCTAACTCATGGCTGGTTGGTAAAGTAAGATAATGATTTGTTCGAGCATAATTATGTCAACTAATGTTTAATAATTTTATAGATTCATGTTATGTTTTATTATGTTATTTTAAATTTTTTTATAATCAGTTAAATATATAAGGCGCATGTAACAGGCTCATCAATGATGTATCAAAATGACGAATTAAACAGTCATGTGACATACATATTGAAAATAATTTTAAAATAATAAATTTCAGTTTTTTTTTAAAAAAAGCCATGACTTAATGACATGTTCAATTTTTATCCAAATAATTTTTAAAAGAATTAACCACTCACAAGCCCTATGCTGTCTCCTTCACCACCCCTACTCCTGATCCTCAACCTCTTCTCCACTAGATTGTCTTTCCACATTTCACAACCCCCTATTCCAGATTGTTTTTCTCCAATATATACTTTCATAGTAATTTAACTATTTAAAAGAAATTATTTACAAAATTCAATTTCTTGTCAGAAAATGATTCCTCCTACTTATAACTTCATATAAAACCAAATTCTTCAAATCTAAACAAAGAGTTCCCTAAAAAAATTTTCTAGATTTTCTTTTAAGAAAATATATTTTGATTTTTTAAAAACCATTTCAAGGAGGAAGAACGACTACAAAATAAGAAAAGTTGTTTAATCTTGAAATATCTTGGTGTTGTAGCACTATTAGATCTATTTCTCCATGGAAGGAGTTTAAGTTTTGAAAAATGATAGCTAAAATGGGAAGAAAAAGAAAAGAATTAAATAAGAACAGGTTATATTTAAGCTCTCCACGCGCTGATAAGGAGTGTATCATATTCACTGTCTTGTGTCAGTAAAAAGTGTCAAAATGACACAGCGAGACATGACATGAGGTGTCTTAAATGAACAATAGTGTCAATTTTAGAGGGTCATTGATGGTTTAGCTTGTTCAAGTTTTTTTTAAATAATTTGATTGATTTCCACCTAATGTTGATATTTATATTGGGTTGCGACTCAAATGAAGATTATGCATTGTATGAACTATGATTTATACGTGACATACTCATTAAAAAAAAATTATTCTTATAAGTGCTGATTCAAGATCTCTTATAATTGTATGTGTCAATCT